TAGGACCCTCATCTCCCATAAGGTTCAAAATTTCAGAGGAGGAATGGAAAGGTCATGAGATATCTCTTAATCACTTGAAAGTTTTTGGTTGTATTTCTTATGTCAAAGTTAGAGATGCAGAGATAGTGACAAGCTCGAGGCAAAGGCAAAGAAATGTATCTTTATTGGGTACGGGCTGGATGACATGGGCTACAGGTTCTGGGACAACCACAGCAAGAAGGTTATCAGAAGTAGAGATGTCACCTTCAACGAGAATGCCCTGTATAAAGATGATCTTGCAGCAGACACTAGCAAAGGCAAGCAACCAGAAAACAAACAACAAGTGGTGTTTGAAGGGATGACTGAAGACGACATAGCACAACCTATTGGTTGTGATGGCATGGCTGGAGGCTCAGGGAGCAGTGGGAGCTCAGGAGATACAGGAATTTCTGAAGATAGTGGGAGTGATGAAGATAGTGGGAGCTCGGAGGAAGCTACTCCACAAATCAGACAGTCCACTAGAAACAGAAGACCTCCAACAGATATTCTCCTTCAGCAAATTATCTGTTGCTGACCGAGAATGGAGAGCCAGAATCTTAAACAGAGGCGTTGATTGTGAAGGATTCCATACAGTGGAAGAAGGCCACGGAGGATGAGTTAAACTCACTTGATAAGAACCAAACTTGGTCCTTAGTCAAGTTACCACCGGGAAAGAAAGCTTTGGAGAACAAGTAGGTGTTCAGAATCAAAGATCAAGCAGATGGGAGCAAAAGATACAAGGCAAGGTTAGTTGTCAAGGGGTTCCAACAGAAGAAGGGGGTTTATTACAATGAAATCTTCTCTCCGGTTGTGAAGATGACTACTATCAGGTTGATCCTTGGTATTGTTGCTGCTGAAAATTTGCAATTGGAGCAGCTGGATGTAAAGAATGCCTTTCTTCATGGCAACCTTGAAGAAGACATTTACATGGCTCAACCAATAGGGTTCCCAGTGAGTGATAAGGAGAAGTTGGTGTGCAAACTCAAGACGAGTCTATACGGGCTAAAGCAAGCTCCTAGACAGTGGTACTTGAGGTTTGACAGTTTTATGCAGCGGAATGGATACACTAGATGCAAGATGGACCATTGCTGCTACTTGAAGAAATTCCAGTCATCATACATCATCCTTCTTTTGTATGTTGATGACATGTTGGTGGCTGGAGCAAATATGCAGGAGATCAACAAACTTAAGAAGAAGTTGTCAGAAGAATTCGAGATGAAGGATTTAGGGGAAGCAAGACAGATTCTTGGGATGAGCATAGTCAGAAACAGGATAGAAGGTACTTTACAGCTTTCACAGCAAAAGTACATTCAGAAGGTCCTTGAGAAGTTCAGAATGACGGATGCCAAACCAAGGAGTACACCGTTAGGGAGTCAACTGAAACTCTCTAAGCAGCAGTCTCCAAAGACCAATGAAGACAAAGAAGAAATGGCTAAAGTTCCTTATGCATCAGCCGTTGGCAGTTTGATGTACGCGATGGTGTCAACAAGGCCAGACATTGCTCATGCAGTGGGAGTTGTTAGCAGGTTCATGTCAAATCCAGGAAAGGAGCATTGGGAAGGAGTTAAGTGGCTGTTGCGCTACTTGAAAGGCTCTTCTGAAACTGCCCTATGTTTCAGAAGGAATGGTGTGATCCTTGTAGGATTTGCCGATGCTGATTTGGGGGGTTGTTATGATTCCGGGAAGAGCACAACGGGGTATGTTTTCACTATTGGAGGTACGGCAATCAGTTAGATGTCCAGACTACAGAAGAGTGTGCCTCTTTCAACCACATAAGCAGAGTACATGGCCATTGCTGAAGCGGCCAAGGAGTTGATCTGGTTGAAGAACTTTCTTTCTGAGTTGGGCATGAAGCAGGGAGATTGCGCTCTATATTGTGACAACCAGAGTGCTATTCATCTCGCAAAAAATCCGGTGTTTCACAGCAGAACGAAATACATCAAGATGCGGTATCATTTCATCCGAGAGTTGATTGAAGATGGTACTATAAATTTGCAGAAGATCCTTGGTACGAAGAATCCAGCAGACATGCTAACCAAGGCGGTGACAACGGAGAAGTTGAAGCTTTGCATCGCTTCAACTGGCCTTCCAGATACTTGATGAGAAGGCGTGAACGAGAGAGAGAGAGAGAGATCAGGGGTTTTACAGAGGATAGAAGTTCTTGGATGGCAGATGATTGTTGAACAAGCCTCCAAGTGGGAGATTGTTGAAGATGGAGCCTTGTTTGTGCAGCAGTAGTAGACACCCGACCGGGTGGGGTCAGTCACCCGACCGGGTATGATGTGAATTTGGTCGGGCAACTCTCTGGATTGGGAAACTCGATCGGGTAAGGAGGTTTACCTGACCGGGTCCGTGGATGGTTTTGGCTTCTGTTTAGGATACCCGCCCTGGTGTCTACCCGGGTATGCCTTTTGAGGAGACACCCGACCGGGTCCAGAAGGGGACCCGACCGGGTCAGTGGAGTTTCTACCTTTCTGCTTTGGTTACCCGCCCTGGTCTCAACCCGGGCATGCTTGCTGAGGAGTTACCCGACCGGGTCAAATAGGAGACCCGACCAGGTCTACGGGTTAATCTTAATTACGGGCTTAATTTTTGGGCCTGCGGCTCTAATCTTTGTTTAGGTTTTTGTTAAATCTATTTAAACGACTCTAATGTACGTGTAAACTCTTGACGCAGACATAATAATAAAACAGCTCTCTCTCGTTCGCCGTGGACTAGCACAATCACCCCGATTGTGTGAACCACGTAAATTCTTGTGTTCTTCCTCTTTAATTTATCGTTTTATGAACCTAAATCATAACAAAAAGAGTTTAACCAAAATTAGGAAACAATATTCCTAATAATATTCTATTACAGTTCACGTGTCTTGACGAGGCCTTTATCATTTAGGAACTATTTTCTCCAGTCAGCTATCTTATCAGGGTCAGTTCACCCCGTGTGTCAATCTTCTCCAGGATATTTACTCTTCCTTTTGAGAATCCCAAAGTGTAGTGTACAAAATCTTCATTAATGTACAATTTGTGTTGATTGGGTAACATCAATGACATGCTCATTGCTATCAAAGCAGTCTACAACCCAATGACCAATATGTGCAGACAATTGCTTGACTAGAAGGTAGAATAACGACCCAAAGCCCATGTGCACTATTTCATTTTTCTGGTCATCAGCTTGTCCATGACTTCTGTCAAACTCTTCTTCTATGTTCCTCCCAAATTTTTATGACAGTGATCAACAGTCATATTTCTAGTAACTCTCCTTTCAGTTTCTTCATTTCCTTTTCTCTTTGGTTCTGTTTTTGTAGTTTTATCTTTATCTCTTTATTGCTCATCTTTCTCCTTCTCTCTTGCTCAACATCTTCTGGCTCATGCTCAGTAGTATTCCTCTCAACATTATCTTCATGTTGTTGTGGTGCATCTTCACTTTGGTGACCAACACACTCGGCTTCTTTTTGTTGTTTTCTCTTAGTGACTTTTGTTTGTTTGTTTGGGGCTTTCACATTAAGCACTGAGATTTCATTATTAAGTGACATGAGTATGTTGACTTCTACGTTATATCTTTATATTGTGCATATGTATTAATACAATAGCAATTATAACATATTGAGTATTAGTAGTGAAAGAAATGCTCCTGTCCACCAGTTCGGACAAGATCTGCTGTCCGAACATCGCCGTTTGGGGAGTTTCCCGGTGATTTTTTTTATGAAAGTTTTTGAGCATGTTCCTTATGAAGTCTAGTTTATTCATAAAAAAATTCAGCTCTAAATTCACTCGGGAAGACAGTCAAATAATTTTCTGAAGTTGACTGCGCCAAATCATACATAGAAAAACGCAGTCAACTTCAAAAAATTATTTGAATGCCTTCCCGATCAAATTTTGAGCTAAATTTGTTTTGGATAAAATAGACTTCATGGGGAACATGCTAAAAAATTTAATAAAAAAAAATCACTGAAAACCGTCCCAAATGATGGTGTTGGACGGCGGCTCCTGTCCGAACTGCTGGACAAGAGCATTTCTCTTAGTAGTGATACTATAGTTGGTAAATATCCAAATGATAAGCGTAGTGAATAAAATACCAGTTTTGGCATTTTTTATTAAGAGAAATATACTAAATTGATAAAGTGATGTGCCGTGGTTTTTAAGGAAAAGTACAATTGTGTGATTGATATTAAATTGATAAAGTGTGAATAAAGTATGAATGAATTGTAACCACATAAATATTATCAAATATGGTATGAGACAAACGAAAAAGGTAAAATGGGACAAAGTTAGAGGGACGGAGGGAGGGAGTTTACTAAATGTAGATTTGTCACTGCTTTACAATTTTTTCTCCTAATAAAATCAAAGTGTATAACATTATATTATGTCAAAAAGTGTCTCACTACTGTCCAACTTAATTTCGTAATGATTACTAATTACTGAGTAACATCTTATGAATTATATACAATTAAATGAGTATGACATTAGAACATCTCAAACAAGACAAGACTCACTTTTCCACAGAATAAACGTGCATTTGCTATTATTGTCCAATTTCTTGTCGTAAATCGTAATATCAATAAGATATGTTAGGACATTATTTGTTGTATTCAAATTAATTGTAATTATTTTTGATTAATTAGTCTTAGTATTAGTAGACTATTAGTTGAGAGAGAAACAAATTTTTTAGCTGATAAAGCCCACACACCTACCTTGTCCTAATTGTAATAGTATGTTCGAAATTCCTCCTATAAATACAGGCAGAGGGTTCGAACAGCCTAAGAATCTACACAATTAATTTCGCACTTATTATTCTCGTAGAGCACATGTGGTTTTATATCTCAACAGTTCATATGTATATCATGTATTATTGCTATATCATTATGAATATACGGTATTGATTGTTGACGAATTATTCTTCTTCTACTCGATTTCTCCATATTATTATTTAGATTATATTTGACTGTTGATCTGAGATTACACACAACATAATATGAATATTATGTACGGTCAAATAGATAGGGCACTACATAATCTCAAACAAGTTTCACTTCTCCACAAAACAAATCGAATATCTAAATAATCATGTGTGTGATTATAGTCCAATTTTTTCGTACGGTCACTAACAAGTATTGCATTTAAGAACATATTATGAGAACTACATACTTCCTCCGTCCCTAAATGTTCTTCCAAATTAAAGTGGCACGGTGATTAAGAAAGTGAGAATTGTGTGGTGGAGAGTTGTGCAGAGGAGAGAGAAATGTTGTGAACCACAAATTCTTTGCCAAAAAGGGAAAGTGAAGTTCTTTTTTGGACGGACGAAAAGGAAAAGTTGAATCCCATGTGTTCCTTGAGATTATCTGCAGATAAATCAGCTGTGTCACTTGGAGAAAAATCATTGACATTACTGAATCCCATGTGTTCCTTATTAGAAAATAGCTTCATTGTTTTAGGCCCTTCCTCCCTCAGGACCTTTGAGAACAATAGAGTGAAGTTTAACAACTTGATTAAATGTTATGTAAATCAGAAGCTGCTCATCAGCATCACTCACAAGATTCACACCCTCATCTTCTCTGTTCAGGTTAAGGCATTCAACTCCAGACCAGTCGATGTAGTCCAGCAAATCAACTTGGCCTTTCGGAATAGCAGAGGCGGACTCGGCTGACATTTTTAATGAATGGAAAAGCAAGGCGCAAGAGAGAAAGGCACATGAAAAAGAGCAAATGTTCAAAATAACTTCCGTGTTATTCCATAGGAGTAAAAAGATATATCCTTAATGAAATGTTTAATCTATTTATTTAAAACGAAAAAATAGGATAATACGTAGGAATGTTTTGTACGCAACTTAACAATTGATTAACAATTCTCTTGCGCAGACTACCACTACCAAAGTTGCTGACGACACCACCCACAGTCGGCACCGTTCGCCGCCGCCAGAAGTTGCAAACTCGAGTCACACAAAAGGGCAAACAACAATTAGTGCAACGCCTGGTGACATGACATTGTATGTCCAAAGATCAAGCAACTTGGGAGGATCACTTTGTAGGAGATCGAAATACACAAAGAAAAAGGCAGTAGAAGGGAAATCACAAGCTCACATATTCATTGATAAAAAAACTAGGCTTTATAGCAGGATTACATGAATGGATAGCCACAAATGAAGAATAACAACTTCCTAATAAATAGCCACATTCAAACGTGCATAACTACTTAAGCAACTAAGCAACCATAACTCCTAATCAGTAGGAAACAATACTTAGACGTATTCAAATAATAATAAATGAATAACTAATAAACAAATAATCCAAATGCTACGTATGCATGCAACCATGCAAACCTTTGCAACCATGTATGACTATGTTTGATCACTTTCAACACCGCCCCTTGATCCATGCTTAGTCATCCCAATTCTCTTCATAAAGTGATAATGATTTGCATGCTTAAGAGCCTTTGTAAACAGGTCTGCATTTTGCCAATAAATTCCACAAAACTGAAGTGAAATCCTCCCTTTTGCTACAAGTTCTCTGAAGTGAAATGATACTGGACATCAATGTGTTTTGTTCTAGAGTGATAGGTTGGATTCTTTGCCATAGTTATAGCTGACTTGTTGTCACACCAAAGTTCAATACCTTCAGGCTGAGCACATCCCAAATCTTTCAATATTTTGCTTATCCATAGGGCCTGCTTTGCTGCAGAACCTGCAGCCACATACTCTGCTTCTGAAGAGGATAAGGCAATGGTTTCTTGCTTCTTTGAACTCCATGTTATTGCACCAGGTCCTAGATCAAAGACTGGCCCTGACATGCTCTTCCTATCATCCACACAACCAGCCCAGTCACTGTCAGAATACCCCCTTAATTTGAAGTCTTTCACACTTGAATACCACAGCCCTGACTCCAATGTTCCTGCTAAATATCTTAGGATCCTTCTTGCAACACCAAGATGTTGCTTTGTTGGCTTTTGCATATATCTTGACACAATGCTAACACAGTAAGCCAAATCAGGTCTTGAATGTGTTAGATAATTGAGTCCTCCTACCATGCTTCTATAGAGTGTGACACCTGCCTCCCCAGTGTCATTACACTTTTGAAGTTTCTCACTTGCATTCATGGGTGTAGCAATAGGCTCACAGGATTCCATGCGAAACCTTTTGAGCAAGTTGATAGCATACCTTTTCTGGCTAAGAAAGGTGCCCTCATTTCCTTGCTTAACTTCTAAGCCAATGAAGTACCGAAGCAGGCCCAAATCAGTCATCTCAAACTGATTGGTCATTAATGCTTTAAAAGAGGCTATCATGCTTTGTGAAGAACTGAAAAAGATGATATCATCTACATAAAGGCAAACAACTAGGAATTACATACCTTCTTTCTTGATATATAGAGTACGCTCATTGTCACTTTTCTGAAATCCTGTTGTGCTGAAAAAGGAATCGATTTTGCTATACCATGCTCTAAGGGCCTGTTTTAGCCCATAGAAAGCCTTCTTGAGCCTACACACATTGTTTGCTTCCCCTTTCTTCACAAAGCCAGGTGGTTCATTCTAGGCCTGAAAAGCTTATTCTTCACTCTTTTCAGCCTCACTATTGCTTCTTTCTTCATAGGCCTGAAGAGATCCCTTGAGCTCTTCAAATGTGTATGTTTCCAAATCTTTAGCCTCTTCAATAGCACACACAAGTTGGCCATATTTGGATGTAAGACTTCTCATCACTTTGCTTACAACCTGCTGAGGTTTTATTTCTTCTCCATAGGACTTCATCTGCTGAACCAAGGATGTAATCCTAGATAGATAGTCCTGCACTAACTCCTTATCCTTCATGCGTGTATTCTCCATTTCTCTCCTTAGAGACAGCAATCTGACCATGATCACCTTCTTGTCACCTAAGTATTCTTGCTTTAGAATACTTCAGGCTTCCTTTGAGGTAGAGGCTGCAGCAATGCGTGGAAAAACATCATCATCTAGAGCTTGTTGAATGAGAAAAAGGGCTTTGGCATCTTTCTTCCTTTTCTCTCGAAGGGCTTGATCAGGCTCCTCAGGCTGATCATCAGCAAACCCTTCTTGCACCATACTCCACAGTTCTTGTGACTTGAAGAGGGTCTTCATTTTCAGGCTCCAAAAGTGATAATTAATCCCTTTGGACAAGGCTAATTGATTTACTGAATTTCCATTTGCCGAGCTTTGCATATTTGGGTGTTTTTCTTTGATTTCTTTTGTGTATAACGGACTGATCTAAAACTGTCTCTGATACCAAATGTAGGAGATTGAAATACACAAAGAAAAAGGCAGTAGAAGGGAAATCAAAAGCTCACATATTCATTGATCAAAAAACTAGGCTTTATAGCCGGATTACATGAATGGATAGCCACAAATGAAGAATAACAACTTCCTAATAAATAGACACATTCAAACGTGCATAACAACTTAAGCAACTAAGCAACCATGACTCCTAAACAGTACGAAACAATACTTAGACTTATTCAAATAATAATAAATGAATAACTACTAAACAAATAAACCAAATGCTACGTATGCATGCACCCATGCAAACCTTTGCAGCCATGTATGACTAAGTTTGATCACTTTCAATACACTCAAGACTCACAGAAGATTTTCCTGCTCTTAATATTGAGGACAAGGTTAGTCTTAATTAATAGGGGAGGTAATGTAATGAACCAAACAACAAATAAATTGGAGGAAGTCACATCAGCATTAATAAAGAAAGGGAACGTGACTGGAGGTACAGAAAGCTGTGGATATGACGAGGAGAAACTGAATCAGGACCACTAACACAAAACCTTGAGGAAATTTCAGCTTGTCAATCTGGACGATGTAATAAGATTGCATCTGGATGATGTAATAAGATTGCACTGTTATGTTTGAGTTTTGAGAATAAACTGCGTAGTATTGATACTCTTCTTATTATTGTCTTTTATTCTTGCGTTTTGGTTGCTATCATTTCAGATTTACCTTCAATAAAATTTCGAACCCAGAAATTAAAAATCCATCAACATGAGTACTGGATCGGGTTGAAATAGCCAGCCAAAAGTAGTTGTCGTTGGCCATAGCATGTAGGAGATTGAAATACACAATGAAAAAAGGTAGTAGAAGGGAAATCACAAGCTCACATATTCATTGATCAAAAAACTAGGCTTTATAGTCGGATAACATGAATGGATAGCCACAAATGAAGAATAACAACTTCCTAATAAATACCCACATTCAAACGTGCATAACAACTTAAGCAACTAAGCAACCATGACTCCTAAACAGTAGGAAACAATACTTAGACTTATTCAAATAATAATAAATGAATAACTAATAAACAAATAAACCAAATGCTACGTATGCATGCAACCATGCAAACCTTTGCAGCCATGTATGACTAAGTTTGATCACTTTCAACACCACCCCTTGATCCGAGCTTAGTCATACCAATTATCTTCATAAAGTGATGATGCTTTGCATGGTTTAGAGCCTTTGTAAACAGGTATGTATTTTGCCAATAAGTTCCACAAAACTGAAGTGAAATCCTCCCTTTTGCTATAAGTTCTCTGATGAAGTGATACTGGACATCTATGTGTTTTGTTCTAGAGTGATAGGCTGGATTCTTTGCCATAACTATAGATGACTTGTTGTCACACCAAAGTTCAATACCTTCAGGCTGAGCACATCCCAAATCTTTCAATATTTTGCTTATCCAGAGGGTCTGCTTTGCTGCAGAACCTGCAGACACATATTCTGCTTTCTGAAGAGGATAAAGCAATAGTTTCTTGCTTCTTTGAACTCCATGTTATTGCACCAGATCCTAGATAAAAGACTGACCCTGACACGCTCTTCCTATCATCCACACAACCAGCCCAGTCACTGTCAGAATACCCCCTTAATTTGAAGTCTTTCACACTTGAATACCACAACCCTGACTCCAATGGTCCTACTACATATCTTAGGATCCTTCTTGCAGCACCAAGATGTTGCTTTGTTGGCTTTTGCATATATCTTGACACAATGCTAACACAGTAAGCCAAATCAGGTCTTGAATGTGTTAGATAATTGAGTCCTCCTACCATGCTTCTATAGAGTGTGACATCTGCCTCCCCAGTGTCATCACACTTTTGAAGTTTCTAATTTGCATTCATGGGTGTAGCAATAGGCTCACAGGATTCCATGTGAAACCTTTTGAGCAAGTTGATAACATTCCTTTTCTGGCTAAGAAAGGTGCCCTCATTTCCTTACTTAACTTCTATGCCAAGGAAGTACTGAAGCAGGCCCAAATCAGTCATCTCAAACTGATTGGTCATTGATGCTTTAAAAGAGGCTGGCATGCTTTGTGAAGAACTGAAAAAGATGATATCATCTACATAAAGGTAGACAACTTTGAATTTCATACCTTCTTTCTTGATATATAGAGTAGGCTCATTGTCACTTTTCTGAAATCCTGTTGTGCTGAAAAAGGAACCAAGTTTCTTGATGGTCTCCTCGGAACTCGGAAGATTAACCCGAGGGAGGAGAGCCATTGGTGTATTCTGATGGTCTCCTGATAGGCCCAGCCTTACCAAGAAACCAAGTTTCTTGATGCCTTCCCTTCACCACCCACCCAAAAAAAAGGGGGGGTGAAGGGGAGTAGACTGAGCGAGAAATCAAAGAGTACACTCCAACAGATCACAACATGCCGAGGGATCCCCACGGGAACACCTCCGGTAATTGAAGGCTCCTATTTCCCGAAGGATACTACTCAAACGAATATCATCAAGAAACGGCTAAGTCCACTGCTTGGTCACCTCCGGTCACACAAGCATCGAAGGCTTCAACAATACAAAGGGACTGGACTATCCAAAGTCCACTAAACGGTACTTCAAACAAATACCGAGGGCATCTGTTATGCACCAATACCGAGGGCCCTTACCCCATGACAAGGGACACAACTGGCTAAGTCAAACTCTACAACTTTTCAAGTGAATGCCGAGGGCACATACTCCTCATTGGCTTTCTTCACAACAACAGGATTCCACACTTTTCCTAAGTCCACACTTTTGGAAAATGACAGCAACCGGAGGCTAATATATCACCAGACAACCGAAGGCATCTATTACAAATC